AGCAATAATAAGGCTAAACAAGTAAACAAAATGTAGAATGTAAGCATACACCCAAGAGAATACAGCTCAGAGATGGTAACACAGAGGGAAAGACAGGCACAGTATGCAAATAAATGCATACAGAAGCCAGTAAAATCTTTAAATAAAAGTTCCCATAACTCAAAATAGTTCAGCAAAATGGGATACATCCTACAACACAATTATTTGGGTATGCGTCTTATGATACCTGGGAGGTATTCCACAAAAGCAGGATTTCTCAGTTAGCCTGATAACTTAAGCCCAAAGATGAGGACTGCCCAATTGCAATGTCCCTCAGTTCTTTTCCTATTGGAGAAACTTGAAAATGGGCTTAAGTTATCTAGGTAAACTGAGAAATCCTGCTTTGCGGAACTCCCAGGTGGAAATCATAAGACTTTATATGACTTATTTTGATTTGATTTAACACTCAAGATAATCATATTTTTTTCAATGCTAATAGTTTAAGTGCATTTTTAAAAATGGAAAAATTCAATTAATGTAAACTTGTGCACATGAATAAAATTTAAAAAACACTACAAAATGACTCATGGTTATGCTGCAACCAAAGTACAGGAATGTAAAGGAGTTATTTTGGCTGTAGCCAAATCATGAAATGTTTCAAACTATTGTATTTTGTTCTGAATCACCTGGCGTTCATTAAGTCTTGCTATGCCACTGCCATCCCTAATTGCATGTCCCACTTTGGCCACCCCAGTCTAAATGTTCTGGACCATCTCTGTTAACAACAGTACGTGCAAGTCAGGGTTTGGGTCAGGGTCTAACTTGCAGGTCAGGTTTGGGCTTCAATTTCATGCACGTGCAGACCTCTGACCCTCACCTCAAAATGAAACTGGGGTTTACAGCCCTTAGGCGAGCTTCTAGGTTCCCTCGGTTCCCTCTGCAGACAAAGCACCACATACATTTCTAAAAGAATCCTCCATTTCAGCACTACTTCTGCAACAGCAATGCATGCCTGAAATCCCCCCTTACGCACACGCACACACAACAAGGCAGGTCTGCTGTCCATCTGTCCGCTCTTCAGGGCTACACTGTAGGAGAGTTTCCTGGGGTGTGTGAGCGTGTGTCTGCTTGTATGCTGCATGTGTGTGTAGGAGGCAGAGAAAAAAAAAAGGGAAGAGAGTAGTAAGGCAGACAGTGAGAGAAAGAAAGAGAGAAAGAGGAAAAGAACAAAAGCTAGCTGAGGCAGTTGCATAAGAATGCCTGTATTATGGGCGGTCACTGGCAGGACAAAAGGTAAGAGTGCTTTGATGAGTATCGACCTGCTTTTAAGTGCTGCCAGCCAGGCACAGGGTGTGTGTGTGTGTGTGTGCGTGCGCGTGTGCACATGTACAAGAACACACAATGCAGCCATCACTCAGGCACAATTCGCATCCTACACACCCGCACCCACTTTAATCTCCAGCATTGTTCTTTTTGTATGGAGGTGTAGACAAAGTTGGAGGGTTTTTGACATGTATTGCTTTAATGATCCAAACAAAAACAGAAAAGCATTCACATGAATAAACTACCGGAGCGGCAAATTTTGCTCAGGTGGTTTTATCAGAGGTCCAAAACTCGGCAATCGACAAAGATTTCAAGCAAAACGACACACAACTGATGTTACATAGAAGAAATACAAAACACAGGCAATATTCAACTGATGCCTTGCAAAACCACATCCATCATAAGATCTTGTCCAATAGGACTGTCCCCACTTGACTATGTCAGACACTGTCAGTTGATGATTTGTGTTTATTTATATGTTTATATCTTGAAATTTTATTATTTTTACAAATGAACTATAATTAAAACTGGATATTTTAGCAAAAGGACGTTTAGACTAGAGGTCTGCTACTTGACCCAGCTTCGGGCCATTTTTTATGGACAATATTGGGCTTGGGTTTGCTTTTGGATTGGATTTTGAGTAATCCCACGCATCTTCTCTGTATAGTAATGTTACATATATACACAGCAGTACTGCTGCCGCTTTTAAACACTGTGTCCACTCACTGTCCACTCTATCAGACACTCCTTCCTTGTTGGTCCACCTTCTAGATGTAAAGTCAGAGACAGTAGCTCATCTGTTGCTGCAGTTTGTGTTGGTCAAGCTCTAGTCCTTCACCAGTTGCCACAGGACGCAGTTGGCTGGATACTTCTGGTTGGTGGACTATTCACAGTCCAGCAGTGACACTGTTTAAAAACTCCAGCAGCACTGCTGTGTCTGATCCACTCAGACCAGCGTAACACACACTAACACAACACCACCAAGTCAGTGTCACTGCAGTGCTGGGAATGAGCCACCACCCAAATAATACCTGCTCTGTGGTGGTCCTGTGGGGATCCTGACAGTGAAAGGGGGCTAACAAAGTATGCAGAGACTACAGACTGTAATTGTAGAACTACAAAGTGCACCTATATAGTAAGTGGAGCTGATGAAATGGACAATGAGTGTAGAAACAGAGGTGGTTTTAATATTATGGCTGGTCAGTGTATATATACAGTATTGTCTATGGCTACATTCAGAACAGCGCTGGGGTTTGAGAAAGGGTTTAAATGGGCCCCTGTATAAAACTGGGGTTGCTGTTCAACAGCACGTCATGGATGCTTGTTAAATTCTTGTGTTATTCATTTCTGCAAGTAGCAGCAGTAGTGAAAAGAACTTTAGCGCAGTGGGGCTGACATTAACAATTGATCAGGAGAGGGTGGGCGCTGCTCCCTGCCGGGGACAACTAGCAGACTGTTCGTGTAAATGTGTAAAATATGAGTTTATACCCAGAACAACATTATCTGTTGATCAATTCAAGCACTTAAAGCAAAGCTCTGTAAAAAACATGTGTACAATATCCCATCCCTGTTGACAATGTCTGCGCAAGGGGTTCGGGTCAGGTTTCAAAGTTATGGCTGCGGGTCAGGTTTGGCCTTCAATTTCATAAACGCAGACCTCTAGTTTGGACCATGTAGCTACCAAGCCTCTGTATAGTTTAAGCACTGCTTGATTTCACTAAAAGTATTGTTACCGGGTACAACAGATAATGAAGAGCAACAGAGGGGGAAAAAAACTAGAAAATATCCTCTGTGTGGGTGCAAATATAAGCTGTTTACAGCCAAGTATTGAAGATATTGATTTAATGCTTCTTCACGACCTACAACAGATTTGTCGTATTCAGTGCCCTACATTCAAATTTGTAACAGCAATTAGTGAAACGTGTTTTTCACTTTAATTGGCCATAAACCTTCTCAGTAACACTTTGAACAAAATAACCGCTTAACACCTTTAAATGGCCAGGACCTTCAGTGGGTTCAAACTTTGATTACACACTTCTATAACTTAAGAATAAATAGATTGCATTGTAGTCCATGTACAGCCAGCTGTATAATTATTGGCACCCTTGGTGAAGATATGTGAGGGTTTATGAAAAACAACACGACAAAATGAAAATGCTCCCATTATAATTAATAAAGTTGTCCACACCAGCTGTGAGTGGCAGAGAGCAACATGGTGCAATGTGACGCAACTTTTTGATGGACACCCTGTTTCTATTTTTGATGCGTCGTGTCACTCTGTCATTCCACTTCTACGACCATTTTAGTAAACAATTTGGAGAGAAACTGCCAGAGTGCTGGAGGTTAGAGGTGAATACCATTGTTTTTGTGTAACTGACTGATAAGCTGAAGAAACTTAGCAAGCTAGGCAGACGATACAACCGAGTTGCCTAACACCAGTCTGGTATAATGTTGAATATTTTGATGATGTTAAATTTGGGGGTAAAACATAACCCGTTGTACAGTCTATTAAATCTATGTCCTAAAACCACAGCTGGACATCTCCAGCAGTGAAGCAGCTAACTTATATCCGTGGTTTGTTCACGTTTTGACTTGACAAGCGCACTTGACATTTCCACTGTAGACATCTTGAAGGTTTTGTGACGCGATACAACACTCCATTTGAACGCTCGCTTGCTGTTAGGACAGTGTTAGACTAAGTACTTCATTGAAAGGTTAGAATGATCTCATATTTTCAGTGTGAGACTGAGCTGATTTTAAGCATTAAACATTTTTATGACCCTTTCTACCTACATTTACCAAGGGTGGCAATAATAATGGTGCTGACTGTAGTTAATGAATAAAAAGCCGTAGGATGTAATAAGCCTGGGAATTTTAAGGGTGAGAGTGCAACCTAATTTCAGGTTTCTACAGTCCAATGTTTTCTGATATGTCCTTCTTTTTTGGCTTGGGGGGCCCTTTTTGTTGGACTAGAGAATCCTTAGGGACAGTCCTACTGTCCAGTTTCTCGCTTCACTGGAAAGCAGCAAGAAAGGCTGGGTAGCAGCCTATTTACAATGCACTCTGGTCTTGCACTATCAGTCTGGAACTGTTACCATTTGACCCTGTATTCTGACAGGCCAGGAGACTCCACGGACTCTGATAGGCTGCACTTGTTTCAGGAGACTCGTGTCGAAGACCCCGCGCTGTGTCACCGCTGCTTCTGGCATTTCTGAAGCGAATGCCAAACTGGGAGTCTTTAAATCAGAAGAGACAGGGCAGTCTGGTGCCTCATATCCTTCGACTGCACTAATCGAGAAGGAAGTTCAAGAGGCCTCCGTGTTTGGATGAACAGGGTAATGCCTTGAAGAGAATCAAATCTGAAAGAAAAGGTCGCCTCGGCTAACTAAAGAGCTGAATTCTTAACCAGGTAGCAAAGCCTACTTGAGTCATTCAAACCACATCAGCGAAATGCTTGCTTCTGTGACTGACCGTGATGTAACAATAGTAGAACAGAGTGGAACAGTCTATTGGTCAAACTTATCGCTGGTCTCTGTGGAAAATAAAAATACAGACAAACAAAAAGCAGGAAAAAACTGACAGTCATCTGTTCTGCATAGACAGTAGCTTTGGAACTCTTGACAACACATCAGTTCTTTGAGCCAACAAAAAACAGGTTGAATGCAGGGAAAATAAATAAAAAAGGAGGTAAACAAATGTCAGTGTAACACATTTATTTATTTATTATTTAAACAAGACCTTGTCACAGCTCTGAAAGCTCAGACAAGGATCTCCACATCATTTTAAAGAGATTTCAAAGCAGTGCAGCGTCTGCTGCCTGGTAGATGTTTTTTTTTTGAGAGTTCGGAAAGTGACGAAGCTGCGAAATGTTACGGCGCAAATGTCTCACAAATGCCATCGGCTGGTTTTCCGGTGATGATCGATGATGGTTTGGAGATACAAATAATAATAATAAAAAAAAATCCAAAACACAAATCTTGCTACACTAGCGCAACTCAAACCTGTCCCACGCTATGGTAAGCCGTGGTTGGGTCTCTTTGGAGGGGGAGGGGGCATGAGCTGGGCATCCAGGTCCGAATGGTGTTTCCGGGACTGGCTCTGGGCGCAGCGGTCCAGGAACTCCAGGAGGTTTTCCTTAGTGACCGGATACTGGATACTGTTGCACACAGCTGTGTAGGACAGGAACAGGACATTAGTGCACATGTGATGACGAGCCATATCCTCCAGCCATGGCCAGGCTCTGGGGTATTTATACAGGGAACCATTATTACTTTATTTGTGATCATCATTCAGTGCACTATGGTCATGCTGCTGTTAACGTCCATGACTTTAATGAGTCGGCCAAGAGCCAAGTGGAAATTAGAAGGGAGGCCAGATGCTGTTTAAACATGAGAAAAAAAACAGCATATTTGGTAGCACAGATGGTTAAAACTCAAATCTATTCCAGTCCACAGGGCATAACAAAGTGTTAGAGACAAAAGAACATAGGAAAACAGTGTGGTGCCCTTAGACTACCCGTGACTCCGAGACCTTACTGAGCTGCGTTTGCCTGTGGCCTGCTGTTTACTACAGGATTGTGGATCATCTTTTTCCAGAGTTAAAAGTTTTATTATTAATATACACTTGCACCCCAATGTGCGTGAAGGAAAACAAAATGTATTTAGTTAAGTACGGACATTTTCATTCAAGTAATCATCTGAACTAACCATCTGACTCATTCTGAGCAAAAAGATATGCATCACCTCTGATGCTAGCTGCTCATGAATGTTAACCTGTATGTTTTCTGTTTTCATTTCTAACATTTAACCAATTTTCCTATTTTAAGTCTACAGATGCAAAAATTCATAAAACTAGTCTAGTACAGACTGGTTATATTCCTGCTCAAAACACACCTCAAACACACCTCATTTAACTCATCAGTTAGTTACTAGGAGGCATGTGGCGAAGTTCATATCGCAATAGTTACCCATCACAGTTTATGATATCATGATACTGTATAAAAAGAAATATATATATATATTTTCTTAATGCCGTTTTTAAACAGTACAACTGTGTAGGTGGTTATGTATGTACAGTATGTGTAGTAAAATATTTATTAAAAATAAAAAGTAAGAATTGTTGCTCTCTGTGTGTTTAATGACCATATAGGCATGTTTGCAGTTCTGCAGGTTGGGCGATAGGAGATACTCGTTCCATGTTCGTGTGGTTTATGTGATCTGAGATAAAAAGTGATGTTGTGAAATGGGTGTTGCATATTATCCAACTGGCATCTATCAGTTTTGGCCTAGTTTACTGGTGTTTTAAATTTATACGAAGTAGAAATGTGGATTAATTGTATGTGTTTAAAATTCACTGTACCATTACCATTTACTACATTGTACAATTTATCTGATAGCTGTTAGCTCACTTCTGTCTTCTGCCATGCCAAAAATAACGCTGACGTCACACGCAGCCAGTTCGTCCTGCATTGAAAATTTCAATGTACCCAACATCATCATCCAAACTGGAATACTGTTCATGTGGTGCCTCTTGCTGGGAAACTCGCTTTTCTGATAAAAACCCAGACCACTTCAAAGCAGAATTAGGACTAGAGTAGAGAAACCCTGCTATAAAAGCCTTTACTGAGAGCTGTGAAAGGCCCCAACATAAAGCAGCCATTTCTAAAACTTCTATTTTTTTTTATCATATAATGATAATTGTACATCATATTCTAATATAACAGTACTTAGTGTTGAAGTCTGCACTTTATAAGCATTTGTTTATCCACTGCAATGATAATGCTAACTTCTACTATTGCTTTCTATTGTTTATCCACTGCAATGATAATGCTAACTTCTACTATTGCTTTACTATTGTTTTTCCCCATGATAAATTAGCATCAAGCTAATGGTTTTATACTATACAGCCCCAGCCTACACATGAACATGAGAAGTTTGTAATAGTAAATCAGGAAACTCTGTATGTCATTTACAGTGAATCTTTCAGTAAACATTTCAACTTAAAGCCTGACTGAATATTTAGCCTATTAGCAGTCTGCTGAGCTGGTTGTTAAACAAAACCAGGGGTATGGTTTTGGATCTTTTACTTCATATACGCAGAACTTGTGACTTCAAACAGAAATGTATTCATGAGATCCTGCATTTCTTCCCTCCTTCACTTGAACCTTCTATCATTTTTTGGAGGGAGGAAAAAAGCTCTGGGACCCCTCCTTCTGTCGTGCTGTGGCTGTACAATGTGTGTTTGTTTACCTGCATCTCTGATGTTTGCTGAAGTTGCTGACAATAAGAGAAATGATAAAATAGAGTCTCTCTGACTAGACGTGCAGCTTGGATATACAGCAGAGTGGTTAAGTCACTCTCTCTTTATGCTGGAAAGCAGGCTTCAAACCTGCTTCTAGACTTCTTTGAGCTTCTAATGCTATGTTCCTGTCAATGTAACTATATCACACTGGTGCTGCTTGTGTAATGTAATTTAAATCGTTCTTTTATCTCAGCCCCTGATTATTGTGGAAACTCTTGAGACAATGATAAAAAAAATGTGATTAATCATAAAGCCCTGGTTAGCCAGTTTAGTGTTAGAGCAGGAAAAGCACCAAACTGCACAAGACTAAGACTTTTTGTGACCGCAGTATCCCTCACTAGCATATAGACTGTTCAAACAAATGAATTACTATTCAATTACTATTAATAATACAGTAAAAAAATGCAATCCAAATGCATTCACAGCCTCAGACTGGTTTAGCTGGCCACTCATCAGTATGTGGTAGATGGAAAGCTTCGAAAGGCTTATTTAAATATTCAGTGCAGGAGAGGTCACAGTGTTGGCACTCACCCATCGCTGTATCATAGGAGTTGGGGAAGCTCTTGTCTATTCTCTGCCTCATGAAAACCCAGGAGTTATTTTTGAATGTGCACTCGATGATCTTATTATCGTACTGCTTCAACTCCTTTGACACCTGTGGAGGAAGAGCAAGAAGCACCATTAGATACAAAGAAGTATTACACACAAACACCTCAGAAATGCACACGCTGAAAGAGTACCACTACATTATGGCACCATATTGCATACAATTTATTACACATTTATGACAAGCTTATGAAGCCTGTGAAGTCAGTCCAACCACCTCCTTGAAAGCAAAGGCCGTCTTTATAAATATTTGTAATGAGTGCAAGCCATTCACATCGTAATGCGAAAAGCATCATGTGTCATATTTGCATGTAGTTCGCTTTTTCAGCTTTTTGTTTGAATTTTCCATTCCACCTTAAATGGAGCAAGCACTTGTACAGGAGCCAGAATGTAACTGATTTAAGTTTAAGGTGGAATGGGAATTTTGAATAAAAAGCTAAATTCAGCTTCCCTAAAACTCTCAAGTCATTTGTCTCATACTTGCATCCTGTACACTCGTGCCTCCGACTGTCAGACTGAAATTCATTTCGGAATGCTGAAATTTGAAAAATATTAGCTATACAGCTGCAAGGTACCAACTGGTCCACGGTTTGTTTTGTGCGCAATGCCTTGACCATGGCGTGGTCTCATTGAGCTGACCATGGCAGCTTCTCAGGCGGTACGAGAGGAAACAACAGCACGTCAATCGCTCTGGTGTTCATGTTAGGCTAAGGCTAATCCAACATGACTGGCCATTTCTTTATGACCACTGCCTTGAAAGTGGACTACCTCAAAGGACTAGACAGCGGATGGAGACCGAGGGTCTGATGCTTTTTCATTTTCATTTGTATTGTGATTGAAACACTCATGACTCAGCCACTCAGCTAAAGAGACTAACAATAGCATGTTGCATTGGGTTATTAGTGTTCATTTGTGGCATACAGGTACAAACTTTCTGGCAAACCTCATGATAAAGCTCATAAAAACAACAAAGGCCACTGTATTTACACACTTAAAATATTTTAAAATGCTAACGCAAGGACGTATCGTTCTAGGTTTTCATTTAACAGCAGTAATAGAGGGAGCACCACTAATATTTGGTGTAGGATGTTCCACAAGCTCAGTGCAGCGACCGCAAAGGCACAATCACCCTTTAAGCTTTAACCGACACTGTGCAACAGCCAAAAGTAACCCATCTAAAGACCTCAGAGTCTTTAAGGGAGAAGCAAGTCAGCCCACAGGATGTGGCTGGCCCATTAAGAGCTTTAAAAACAAGAGCTTTAATAGACCTCTAAACTGGATCTTAGGCTGAAATGAAGGTGAAGTGATACTCTGTGTCAGTGAGGAATCCAGAAGCTGCATTTTGTACTAATTGTAAACGAGCCAAGAAATACTTATTAACACATTTAAATAGGGATGCACCGAAATTTCGGACACTAAAACATTTTGGCTGAAAATGGTTGAAAGTACCACTTTTGATTTTCAGACTGAAAGAGAAAAAAGCTGAGATTTTCAGCTGAGAACAAAGATTAAACAGGCCTACAACAAACTGTCAAAATCTAACACTTGGCAAATAATTAAATAAATAAAAAGTGCTTATTAACGCTGTTTGTTTCTTACACTTATGTTTAAACAGTTCAACAGTGCAAATATTGCCTGATTGTAGCCGATTTTGCGGCTTCTACAGGGAACATTAGACAAGAAGTATGCAATTTCTGTTCTTGTTGAGAATCAACAGGAGGTATAACACTAAACACTCTTCCACTACAGGTTTGATAACACTTGAAAACATAATATCCCACTCGATATGCAGAATACATAGCAAAAAAAGCAGAAAGGAAAGTCCTAACTAGCGTGTCAATGACATTTGTAGACTCAGTTTCCAAAAATTGACATTCATGACGACAGCCAGAGTGAAAAAAATAACTAATACATTGTTATTTATTGTTTTTTGCATGACTAACCATTCTTTGAACATAAAGTCAAAAGAAAACAAGTGACAAAATAGGATTTTTCAAATCTGAAGTTTAAAAAAAAATTAATAAAAAGATTTAAAGAAAAAAAAACTAGACTCCTAACAAGCGTGCAAGACCTGGTAGAACCCCAAAACCATCAAATAAGACAATATCAAGCTCCACTCTTGCTTCAGATATGAAAAATCCACAGGTCTTTCTCTCCATCCTTCCACTGTGAGAACACAACTCAATACTACTTGTCTGGATATTTAGCTGTCAATAAGCCCTCACTGAGAAACGGAAATAGACAAAAAAAGGTTAAATCAGCACTAGAACATCAAAACTGGACACCTGAGATGTGGAGTAAGGTTTTACAGATTGATGAGTACTAATTTGTATTTGGGATTACTTGGACCATGAGAAGCAGAAAATGCAACCAACTTCTAAGACCGAACTGGAAGTGTGGAAAAATTTCTCAGCAGCTTTCTATGAAAAACTGAAAGAGAGTCTCCTGAAATGGAATCTGTTATAAAGGCAAAAAGTGGACAAACTCAATACTGAAAAAATAAACATAATTAGTTGTTGAGGATTCTGTGATTGCGTTAAATGTATGTTTTTTTTGACTGGAAATTAAATATAGGAAAGGGTGCAAAAAGGTTACTTCTGCAGAGTACTGTATGTGCACACACACACACACACACACACACACACACACACACACACACACACACACATCTTATCTAAGCCGCTTATCCTCTTGGGTTGCGGGGGGTGCTGGAGCCTATCCTGAGCCTATCACTGGGCGAAAGGCAGGATACACCCTGGACAGGTTGCCAGTCCATCACAGGGCAGACACACACACATTCACATCTAGGGCCAATTTAGCGTTTCCAATTCGCCTGACCGCATGTCTTTGGACTGTGGGAAGAAACCAGACCACCCAGAGGAACTGTATGTTTAGTGTTAACATTATTCATATGATGCCCACCTATTTAGACACCACTACACCACTGTGAGGTACTGAAGGATGGGCCCAAATATAAGCTGTTACAGTTTAAGCATTTAGTAAAGCAGCATTAAGAAACCAGGATCCATACTACATAGCACCAAAAAAGGTTCTTTGCCATGCACCAATAGCAGAACGCTTTTTGGTCCTACATAGAATCATGCACAACAGGTTTTCCATCCAAGAGACAAACTATTTCACCATGTAAAGAACCATTTATATGTTCAAACAGTTTATTGAGCTGTCAAAGTTCTCTATGTAAACACTGAGCATACTTAAGAGCCTTTGACAAACGCATTTTTAAAGGAGGTAGCTGACAAGCTACCAAAGTAAATTTCAAGCAAAGATGGTAAAAGAAGGGCTTCCGGAGTAAAGAAAAAGCCTCCTCAAGAGCTTTAAAATGTTGAGAATGCCTCTAAGGGGGTATTTAAGGTGTGCAGAGGGGCTCACAGACAGCAAGACAGCAGGTGCAAGACTGCAAGAGACAGAAAGAGAGAGAGAACGAATTAAGCTCTGCTCCATGGGTCTGCGGGACAGCGGAGGAGTGGGCGGCACTGGAAGGAAACACTGGTCCTTTGAGTGCAGCGGCATGCTGGGTAAGTAAAAGCCCGTGTGCTCTGGCCGCGAAGGGCATCTGTTAGCATGTCGGGGGGGAAAGGAGGGGGGGTGGCGCTTCAGAATGACGAAGCGATGAATCGGAAGGGAGAAGAGGAATCACAAATGCGCACAGATAAAATAATGCCAACATAATTACTGCACACACACTAGCGGAAACCCAAATATAGGTGTGCGAACACACTGCCGCACACGCTGATGGCACCAAGGGAGCCGGTGGAGATAATCCTCCCTCATTTGGCAGCGAGGGAGCAGCTCCTGTTAGTTTTGGCCCAGGCCGGCATCACGCCCCAGTTGTAACCGTGAGATCCTGGCAGCTATTTTGGAGCCGACTTGGTGCCTAATCCAACCAAATCCACTCCATTATGGCTGCGGTCTGGACCACACGTCCCTCAATTTACACTCCATCTTTCAGCCAGAGCAGAAAGCATCAGCAGTCAGGACTGTCACTCTCTCTCTCTCTCTCTCTCTCTCTGCCACCCAACCCGCCCAAATCCACAATCACTCCATCTTTCCTCTTTCCGCACACCTGCAAACTGCATTACTAACAGCTTGGGTCTTCACTACAACATGAGCTGCTTCTGCTGTTCTCAGCCATGTTTTGGCAGTTCCTGTTCAGAAGTTTGAATGTACTTTTCATACTGAGAATTCTGTATACAGTTTTATGCAAAAGTTTAAACACTCCTATTCAAATTGCATGTTTTGTTGATTTTCTATATGAAAATAAAAAAAGTAAAAAAAAAAAATTCTTAAAATGTGAAATACATTTTGGCATAAACTGTCCACAAAAATTGAGTGCATAATTTCATTTATTTGCTGAAATGAACTGAAAAGTAGAAAATATAAAATATTAAACTTTTGTACAGGTATAAGTTCTGCCCAATAAGTTAAATTCGGCAAATTAACAGTAATTGTACATTAAAATGTACAGAAGTTTGCTGTCCTTAGATGATAAGTTAATTTATCTTCAGTTAGAAAATCAACAAAATGTAATTTATTTCTCAAAAAGGGGGAAAATTCTGTTTTCCATGATATGGACCCTTTTAGAAAATATTACAGGCAGATATAAACTTTGTGGACACCTCTCCAAATTATTGAGTTCAGGGATTTCAGCCACACCCATTGCTAACAGATGTATAAAATCAAACACATAGCCATGAAATCTCCATAGATAAACTCTGCCAGTAGAATGGGTCAAACTGAACAGCTCAGTAACTTTAAACACAACGCTATCACAGGATGCCACCTTCGCAACGCCAAGGCACACTGCCACTGGACTTCTGGACTCTCAGGTGGCGGAAACGTTTGATGTATCACGCTTCACTATCTCGCAGTGTGATGGACGAACCTGGGTTTGGTGGATGCCAGGAGAACGCTACCTACCGAAGGTGGTGGAGGAGGGATAATGGTCTGGGGTTTGTTTTTCTAGAGTTTGGGCTCAGCATATTAGTTCCTGTTCCAGTAGTTCCAGGGTAATGTTAATGCTACAGCATA